TGGAAAATAATAATAATAAATAAAGTTAAATATAATAATAGTTTTTTAAAAAAGAAGAAGCTGGTTGCCACATGGCCAACCATGGTTCAGATTCCTAGCAATTTGAAAAGCATGCCAGATGTGTGCACATGTGTGCCCCAAATCCCAACAGGTTGGAGGTATAGAGGAGGAGGGATTGTGGCATGACCATCCCCACTGGGGAATGCTTTATCTCTCTCCCTCTCCCTCTCTGTCTTTCTTTCTTGGGCACACATCCTCTGACAATTGGAGGGGGAAAAAAAGTAAAGAAGAAATTTATTAAGTTAATAAAGATGTCCATTTTAAAAGTCCACTGATACTGATATTAATAGCATCTTGAACTATTTTAGATATCTTACCTCAGAGGTGACCACCAAAGAGGAATGCACCTAGGGAAGGAGCCTGATTGTATGAGAAATTGAGTGCAGTCTCTTCATGGCCTTGCAATGAACATGTTTGTTATGATGGATGGAGTGCATTTTACATTCCCTAATAGCCAGCTCTGCGCACACACACATACATACGCACATACACCCCTCATTGTCACTTACCTCTTTCCAGGCTACCAGAGCCCTAATGTTCACTGGGCAGCAGGAACCCCTCCCTCACGTCCAGGTGATGTGTGGTGGATAGTCTAAGCCGGTCAAGGCAGTCCCTTTCCCTTTGCTCATAATTTATTTGTGGGTGGAAATGAAGTTTTAGATAAGAAAGGTCAGAACAAGTTAGCCAGGCGACAATGGGTAAGTTTGTACTGTCTGGAAATTAAAAAAAAAAAAAAAAGAAGAAGAAGACAGTGGATCTAGCAGGTGATTAGTGGTTAAGAGCGCTGAACTCCCACTGGTGTGAGTACCAGACCAGGTGGCTTCCTTTCTCACTTTCTCTCTCTTTCTCTCTCACTCTGTCTCTCTCTGGACAAATTAACATTAATTTATTAATTAAATAAGTAAACTTCAATAAAATAATTCTTTAAAAAAGGCAAATGATCTTATCATTATATAAATATTATATATATTATTATATATGTGTATATATTATAATAATATATATGTAATATATATATGTGTGTGTATCCTACCTGCATGAAGCAGTTATCTGCATGCCTCATTAATTACTCACCTGAGCTGGCTGACACATACCTTATAAGCTAGGAGATTCTTTGTCTAGAGACTTTGGGCTATAAAAACCATTTTCTTATTCTCTTCCTGGAATGTGGTGGGGCCTGGAAAACCATTGATTTATGTCTAGGTCCTGCTGCCTTGGTCAATCACTGAGCCACCACTGCAAGAAGTCTCTCCTGAGCCATGGGCTGAGCTGCTTTGTTTTTATCTTAAAACTTAGCAATTTTGTTATTCCATTTTGGGCCTATACCCTAATTATATTTTGAGGATCCCTATCTCCTTCCTCAAAAGCACCTTCCAGCTCCACAGCATTTCCCATGAAATAAAGCACCCTGCTGGCCGTTCCCATGGCTTTTGGACCAACATTTTCTGGAGGTTGTCACAAGACAAATCCTATGGGGTGCATTGGGGGTTGACACCTCCCTGCCTCCAAATGCCTTGCCACCCTGGAGTAGAAATAACTGCCCAGGTTTCTTATTAGAAGAGACTTTTGGGACCAGCAGTTAGCATAATAGTTATGTCGCTGAACTCCCATGTAGTCGACCATGGTTCGAGTCCCAGATCTGGTGGCTTAAACTCACACCGGGTGCCTGTGCACGTGTGCCCACGATTCCGAGAGGAGAATGGAGGAGAAGGGATTGTGGCGTGGCAATCATCCCCCCCACCCCCGGGAGTGATTTCTTCCTTTCTATCTCTCTGTCTCTCTCTTTCTGGCAAGTGAAATAAAAAAAGAGAGACTTTTGATTTCCCAAGCAGCAGCTTAAATGCAGGGTGCTCTCTACCTGCTCCTATGGTGGCCTTAAAGCACCAATGAGTCTATGTTTTAAAGTGCCTGTGACTCTATTTCCTTTTATTTTGAGAAAATATTTAGTTTTTAAATAACTATCTCCCTTTAAATCATATGTATTGCCTAAATAGTTTTTAAACAGTGTCAGAAGGAAACTGAAAGTGAAAATCTCACTAAGGTTTAAAGGCTGCTTCAAGAGCAGAGGACCTGACGCTGTCCTATTGTCTACATGGCTTCGGTAAGTCCCTGGGATATTCCATAGCTGACTACGGGGTGGGCATGGGGGCAGCACCCCTCCTGTAAAGGTCTCAGTCTGGCTTTGAACACACTTTACTCCAAAGCTCTCATAGAAAACTTTGTCTTTTCAAAGTCCATTTTTCCTGCTGGACCATGAGGTCTCCAGGCAGCATAGCCTCCTTGCTGTGTCTGTCACAGTATGGGAAGCCTGGAACCAGGAAGTCATGGAAGATCCAGAAGCTCCTCCAGCCTGAGCCAAAGCCCTGCTCATCAGACAGACCTGGAGCCAAGGCCACAATGTGGGTGTGCATGGGGACAGCAGGTGTCTGGGGAGTGAGCAAATTCCACGGTATCTCCTTCAACTGCTGCTCAGAGTTCAGATTCTTCTTAAGCCCAAACAGCTCTTTCTCTCTTCTCTTTTCTCCATGGTGTTTGTCCTCCCTAAAAAAGTGCTTTAGGAGGGACCAGCAGTTAGCGTAATGGCTACGTCACTGGAACCCCATGTAGTCAACTATGGTTCGAATCCCGGACCCGGTGGCTTAAACTCATGCCGGGTACATGTGCGTGCATGCCCAAGATCCCGAGAGGAGAATGGAGGAGAAAGGATTGAGGCATGGCCATCGCCCCTGGGGAGTGATTTCTCATTTTCAGTCTTTCTATTTCTCTGTCTCTCTCTGTCTTTCTGGCGAACACATGCACCCTAGAGCAAAAACCTCTCCAAAAAAAAAGTGCTTTAGGATTTCAAGAGTTCTAAACTGATACCTCACTTCCTATCGACCCAGGAGCCCAGATTTATCCAGGGAGGGGCAGGCTGAGCTCCTGGTGGGAGTGGAAAAGGAAAATATGGGCTCCGACTATTCTCGGAAATGAAACAATTCTAGGAAAAGGTCCGGCACATTCCGGAGGGTAATCTGCTGTATGCCTCACATGGTTCTGGGGAGGAGCTCTGTTGCAGCCAGAACAAATCAGGACTCTGTGAGCTGAAGGGCTTTTTTTATCCAAGTAGAACCCAGGCTCACATTTCATCAGCCATCACCTGTTGCTGACAGGGCTCTGGCCATGATTTCAGTCATTGAGCACTGAAGTTAAAAGTCCCATCATGATTCCCAAATGGAGACCATCCCTGGGCCCTGCTGGGCTCTGACCAGCTGACGGCTGTAGGCTGAGACAGAGGAGAAGCTGGCAGGAATCCTGGTTCTGCCGACCCTGCATCCTGCTCTCTTGCCTATTTCCTTTGCTCAGTGCCAGGCCCTCCTCTAGATCCTGGAGATGCAGAGAGAGAGAGTTGTGAATTCAGAGTCCAGCCTTAGTGGAGAGCACAGCACAGAGGGAAACACAGACAGCTACAACATGACCCCTGCCGGCAGAAAGTGGAAGTTGCAGGGATGGACCTGGGGCCCCGAGGGGAGCTGAGCCAGGCTGGGTCAGGGACATGGCCTCTCAGATGAGGAGTGACTGACTGATGGGAAGGAGGAAAGAGGAGAGATGGGTGTGGGAAGTGGTTGGGGCAGAGACCTGGTGTGCTAAGAAGCAAAGGTCAGAGCAAGCCTGTGGTGAAGAATGGCTGGGAAGTCACTCAATGGTCCTAGGGGGTGGAGCCTAAGAGGTGTGAAAGGGGGGAGGAAGGGCAGACCAAAGAGGGCTCAAAGGTGCCCGAAGGGTGTGTCCTGTGCCCTGTTTCCTGTGGTGGCAGCTAAAAAGGAACACCTGGGCTCAGGCCAGAGGGACATCATGGCCAGATGTGCCCTTTGGGAAGACCACTGTGGTCTCAGGGGACTGGGTGTGAAGTAGCAGGGACAGGAGGCAGGGAGGCCAGTCAGGAAGCCAGGGGGTCACAGAGGCAAGATCAGTGCTATCCTGAACCAAGTCACTGTATGGGAGAAGGATGAGGAAATAAATCAGGAAAAAACTCCTGAAATCCAGACTGACTGCTTTGATGACATTCATGAGACAGAAGGCAAGGTGAGCTGACCACTGCCTCTGACTGGACAGCCTGGGATGAGAGGTTGTCATCCACTGAGGACAGACACAAAGAGGGAGGAATGTGGAAAAGTAGAGAGGAGGTGAGAAAGGGGAAGAGGTGGAGGACTCGAAGACAAGCAGTCAGAGAAGACTCACCTCAGCCTCTTCCCATAGGAGTGGTCCTAGAGCGAATCCCTCGACCTCTCTGATCTTTGATTTCCCCATTCATGCAAGGACAGTAATGCCTCCCCTGGGGCTGCTGAGAAGGTCCCAGTTATTCGAGGACAAGTGCCCAGCAGAGACCTGCTTTGAGTTCAGGAGGAGGCCTCCTCAGTGCTGGGCTAGGCCTCCTACTCTAAACTCACGTCTCATCAGATTATGTGAGTTTCATCTCATGGGTGGTCACCTCAATGGATGGGTGGCTAAGAGTGGGTGAGGGCAGGGTCCAAGGACAAGGTGCCTCATGGGGCCATGGACAAACACAGGGCAAGATGACTGACAGGGAACTGAGAGTAAGTCGGTCTACAATGAACAGAGAGCTGAAGACTCGCCCGCCCAGCACTGCTCCCAATCCCAGTGAACATGCTCAGGAAGTTGGTATGTGTGATGCAGCTGGACTTGTACATCTGAAACTACAACATGCACACCCACATATATACACACACACATGCCGTACACTTACTTGTACAAAACACTCCCATTCCACGAAGTCATTTTCCAGACTTCCATGTTCTGGTTCTCCCACTGTGGGAATCCTCAGAAAGAGACAGCATTTTTGGGGATCCCACAGACCAAGAAGCTCTCTCCCCACAGGTTCCAACCAGGTAATGAGTATCAGCAAGGGGTCTCTGCTATCCTCGATGCCTACACTGTCTCTCATTTGTCTGTTGCAGTCACTCCAAGAGCCCAAGCCTGGAGACCTGATTGAGATTTTTCGTGTTGGCTACGAGCACTGGGCCATCTATATAGGAGGTGGCTATGTGATCCATCTGGCTCCTCCAAGTAAGAACCTAAAAATATAATTTCATAATGCTTGCTAATAAGATAATGACAATCACCAAAAGATAGAACTGAGTAAGGGAAACATGAGTTGAGAGACATTATCTAATCAGATTGTGTATGTGGGAGGGTCTTCACAAAGTTTGTGGAAAATTAGTATTATGAAAACTATGCATGAACTTCAAATTTTATTGTACCAAAATTAAATAATACTTTAATTTCATTTTCCACAAGCTTTCCAAGTCCCTTCATTCACATGTCCTGTGGAGTAAGCACAGTGGAGTCCATAGTCCTAGTGGAGCAGGAAAAGAGGCCATTGGCTCCCACCGTGACACTGGGCTGCTTCAGCATTTGTTCTTCCAGCTCAAAGCCAGTTGTCTCTGCTATACAGAGTCCAATATACTTAAACCAGCCAAGTTTTTGGGTTATTTTTGTTTTGTTTTGTTTTGTTTGAGAGATTTTCACTGTAGGGCGCGTGCGCTCACCAGACAGACAGAGAGAGAGATAGAGACAGAAAGCGAGAAATCACCCCCTAGGGGGGATGGTCACACCGCAATCCCTTCTCCTCCATTCTCCTCTCGGGATCTTGGGCACGCACGCACACGCGCCCGGCGTGAGTTTTAAGCCACCGGGTCCGGGACGCAAACCGTGGTCGCCTACGTGGGAGTCCAGCGACATAGCCATTACGCTAACTGCTGGTTCCCAAACCAGCCAAGTTTTTGAAGAGGCTATGTTAGTTTTGGTTTCGTTTTCCTTGCTAGAGGGCACATGCACTTGCTAAAGGGACACCAAGACACACATCTAGAAGAAGGGGAGAAAGCACCCGCAATGGAGAATGATCACACCACTATTCCTCTCCCTCCTTTTGGAATTTTGGGCATGCACATGTGCCTGGCATGTTTCTCAAGTCACCAGGTCTAGAACTCGAACAGTGCAGTCAGCCATGTGAGATGCAGCTGCCTTAACCACAAGGCCATAAAGTCAGCCCTCTATGATTTTAAAGAAAGTTTCTCATGAAAAAGAATGTTTTTCTGTGCTATGTCCTTTATGGCATATGCGTTCACAGAACAATATGTCATGATATTATGCACTTAAAGCACTTTAACAGAAGCAGTTTGTACCAGTTTATGCATTATTTTAAATTCTCATACAAATACACAGTGAGCACATGTCAATGATTTCTTTAACTTGCTAGTAATAGACACAGCAGGGCAACAAAACCAGTTAAAAGGAAATGCAAGGGGCCAGCCCACGGCCTGGTGGTTAAGGGAGCCAGATCCTGTATCACCACCGACATGGTTCAAATCCCAGACCCAGTGGCTCAAAAAAATACCCTAGACATTGTACAAGCATGCCAAAAATTCCAAAAGGAGAATAGAAAAATGGAGAAGGGATGGTAACATATCCACACTCCTCTAGGAAGGTGCTTTCTCCCTTCCCTTTCTTTCTTTCTGTTGTGAATGCACACACCCTCTTGCAAATGGTAAAAAAAAAAAAAAAAAGGTGTGCAAGAAACAGGTGTCTGGATACTCAATGAAAGGGGAAAATGCCAGAATAAGACTGCCAAGCGAGATGGAAACGGCTTCATGATCCACAGAGCAATGCCACCATAACTTTAGATGTCTTTTCCACCAAGCATTGGCATCACCAGTAGGCAAAAATCAGTATCACTGTAAGAATGCATTAGCATCTCACCAATTTTCTACAAGTTTTCATCTCCTTTGATAGAGGTGTCAAAACTTCAAAGCATGACAGTGAAACCCCCTGGTCTTTTTTAGTGCCTAACTTCCTCAAAAGGAGTGAATAATTTTGTCAAAAAGATTTTTCTTGGGGACCAGCAGTTAGCGTAATGGCTATGTCGCTGGACTCCCACGTAGTCGACCGCGGTTCGCGTCCCGGACCCGGTGGCTTAAAACTCACGCCGGGCGCGTGTGCGTGCGTGCCCAAGATCCCGAGAGGAGAATGGAGGAGAAGGGATTGCGGCGTGACCATCCCCCCTGGGGGGTGATTTCTCGCTTTCTGTCTCTATGTCTCTCTCTGTCTGTCTGGCGAGCGCATGCACCCTACAGTGAAAATCTCTCCAAAAAAAAAAAAAAAAAGATTTTTCTTAAAAGACTTCTTTTTTTTTTTTTTCAAACACTGATAGTTTATATTAGAAAATGCAATTGTGCAAAAGCAGGGAGAAAATCAATATAATACAATACAGTGGAAGTGATACAATACAATACAACAAAAAGTGGGATGGAGGGGAATCACATGATGAAGGGAATTGGGGGAAGTGGAGGGAAAAGGCAAGTGTAAAGGTAGGTTCTCCTAATAGGATCCGTATTTCAATCACCTATTATATTATACACATGTTAGGGAAAACAACGTGCACACACTTGTTGGGCAACTCCCTCATGTCAGTTATGATATGACATGGACTTATGTACTTCAATCTTTATAACCACACTAGACTTCTAAATGTAAACACTAGCTTGAGATTAGAAATGTACAGGATTTGGGGTCAGCAGGTGGCATAGTGGTTAAGGTCCCACATAGCTGACTGCAGTTTGAGTACCAGAACCCAACTCCTGAGAGGAGCATAAAGGAGAAGGGATTATGGTGTGGCCATCCCCTTGAGGGATGACTGCTCACTTTCTCCGTGTGTGTATGTGTGTGTGTGTGTGTGTGTGTGTGTGTGTGTATCCAGTGAGCATGTGTGTCCTAAGGCAAAAAAAAAAGAAAGAAAGAAAAAAAGAAAAGAAAAGAAATATACAGGAGTTGGGGTATGCCTAATTATTGTGATAATTAGCAACAGTCTCTCTTTAAAAATAAAACCTGGACTTACCTTAAAATAGAATCTTGGCTCTATCAGTTGCTAGCTCTATCTTGAACCTATCTATGTGCCCAGAACTGTCTTGGGCCACAAGACAGAAGACATTTATAGGAAGGATTCCCTTTAGGGAAGGTTCAGCTCAGCACCAGTACAGACCAAGGCCTGTGGAGGAGATCATCAGTTCTGCAAAGGAGAAGGTGGGTGAGTAGATGGAGTACAGTGTTGTGGGCAAAAACTGTGAGTATTTTGTCACCAATCTCAGTTCCTTGGAGTTCAAGAGTAGTTTTTCATCCTGGCGTAACACTCTTCATAGCAAAGAAAAGTCTGGTAATGTCTCTCTCAGCTCAGTGTTAGTGGTTAAATGGTTAAATAAAGATTTTCAAGCACATAAGGAGATTAAGTTAGGTAATTACGAAAAACTGTGAAGCGTCGTATCTGAAACACAACAGGTACTAACAAACTTGACATCTTTCTGAAACACAGTGTACATATATAAGCAACAAATATGTTTTGCCATCATTATTTATAAGGATGAAAATTTGTCAAAGCTGACTTCACAGTGCTGTGGTTAAGCACAGAGCATAGGGACCAGATCCCACATGGCTGACTGCAGTTTGAATGCCATATCTGGCAATTTGAAGAACACACAGGGCATGGATGTGTGTCTGCCCCAAATCCTGATAATAAGGAAAGGGAGGGAGGAAATTTGCAGTATGACCACACCCTATTTAGGGATTCGCTCTGTGTGTGTGTGTGTGTGTGTGTGTGTGTGTGTGTGCGTGCGTGTCAGACAAGTCCATTTACCCTGTGGCAAAAATAAATAAATTTTAAAATAACGTAAAAGACTAATGATAAGAAATTGGTCACATAAACGATGTTGCTGCATTGATGATCAATGCACTAACTTAAAAAATACTCACATTTTACTAAGTAAAAGGAACAATATTTGTGAGTATTCCGATCACATTTGTGAAAGGATGATCACATTTGTGAAAGGATTAACAACAACAACAAAAACAAAAACAGTAGTAGATTCCTTTTCTCCTTCCCATCTTGTGCCATTCCCTCCCTGCCGCTCCCTCCTCTATGTCTCTCAATGAGAATGTCTCTGGTTCTAGGTGAGTACGCCGGGGCTGGCTCCTCCAGCCTCTTCTCAGTTCTGAGCAGCAGGGCGGTGGTGAAACAGGAGCGCCTGAAGGATGTGGTAGGGAACTGCGACTACCAGATCAACAACTACTTGGACCACCGGTACAGACCAAGGCCTGTGGAGGAGATCATCAGTTCTGCGAAGGAGAAGGTTGGTGAGGAGATGGAGTACAGTGTTGTGGGCAAAAACTGTGAGCACTTTGTCACCGACCTCAGATACGGCACACCATGCAGCAGACAGGTAAGACCTCCCTGGTGACCTATCCCTCTTTGGAAAGTCTGCTTGGGCTGGGGCTGGCTGGGCTGTGCAGCCAGAGGGGAGAGTCACCATAAATGATGCAAAGCCTGCCTCTCTGAGACCAGCTGGCTGGGAGTAAGGATGTCTAAGCTCACATACCCGATCGGTTTCTTATCCATGTAGAGTCGTTAGACATGTTCCCTAAGGCCCTCAGATTCCAATGTGCAGAGGACCTCTGAAGGCCTGGCCGGCTCTGGTATTCTGGAAATCATTGCCTGAGATCCACCCTGAAAGCAGTTTCTGAAGGCCAATGGGACATTAGGAGCATTCAGGCCAACCCAGGAACACAACATGCCCTAAGTCCTCAAAGAAAACTCAGGGAGAGAGTGCTCAGGGTCTGTGGGCCTACAGAAGAGCTCTGTCACATTTTCAGGTAAAATCTGAGTACAGCTTCTAACCCCTTCTCCTGTATAGCCTTCAAATTTATTGTTCCAAAACATAGAGCTAAAAAGAGCCAGAGTCAGCTGTCCCTCCTAGAGTCTGCCCATTACTGTAGCCCTCCAAGGCCACTGGCCCAAGAGATGTGTAGATGGGGCTCTCCGTGAGATGGGGATGATAGTGATAAGAGCCGGTCTGGGAGGAACTTTGGCATGGGCATGAGAGGTTGGAGGTGCCCCATTAGACATTCAAGTGGAGGGTGGAATAGAATTGGAGTTCAGGCCTGAGGTGGGACTGCAGATAGAAATGCCAGGTTGCACCTGTGAATAGTCACAGGGAACCCAAAGTGCACCACCTGTGCCATGATCTCCCTCTCTCTCCCCTCAGCTTCTGCCACAGCCCTCCCTCTGCAGCAGGTAGCTCCAGTAGAACCCACACTGCAAAACAGGCCCCAGTCTGGGACTTAGAGCTCTGGTCTCAGGAAACCAGGCACAAATTCTTTTCCCTTCCCAACCCTAAATCAGGAAAGAATGTCCTCAGCCAGGACACCTACTCAAAAGGATTCCTTATATCAGCTCATTCTTAGGACATGTCCAACACCAAGGAGTGGTCACAACCCAGGAAATGGAGCTCCTAGAGACAGTCAGCATCCTCCCTGGGAGACTCTGGGCCAGCAAGCTGGGAGGGGTCTGCGGTCAGAAAAGGAGAGGCCTAGTAGCTGGGGTGGGCAGGGGAATGCAAGCGGCTTCCAGATCCTGAAGAGAGAGAAAGAGCCTGCCTACCATGACCTCTCAACAAAAGCACTTGTGTTGTAGGTGCAAGTGGCCCTGATTGGAGGAGGTGCAGCTATGGCACTTGGATTTCTGACTGTGGTTGGATCCTCAGTTTTGAACAGGAGACGCCAAAACCAGTGACAGCCAGGAGCAACCACAAAATCCGGTGTGAGAAGCAGCTGTGGAGGCCCCACAGAGGATTTGACCCTCACTCGCTTTCTTGTTCGTCCCTCTTTTTCTTTCCCTCTCACTACTTGCTAAAATAAAAACTTTAGAGAAATTAAATTTAACAGAGTTTCACTGAGAATAGAATAATTTGGGGCTGGCAGGTGGTGTGGTGGTTAAGGGTGCTGGACTCCCACGTGGCCAACTATGGTTCGAATCCCGGACCTGGTGGCTTGCTTTCTCACTTTCCCTCTCTCTCTCTCTGTCCCTCTCTGGTCAAATTAAAATAAATAAAGTTAAATGTAAAAAAAAAAAAAAAAAAAGAGTAATCTGTAAATCAGACAGCCCTCAGAACCAGCAGTTCAGAGAGCCCCACACTACCACAGGGGCAGGTGGCATTTACAGACAGAAAACAGAAGATACAGAAATGGCTTGATTGGTTACCACCCCATATTAGCTTCATTTAAACATGGTGGGATACCTTGGCCACCTGTGATTGAAAAGCTGAACTGCTGTCATTGGCTGAAAGGCAGCTATGTGTTATAAAAGTAAACTTCCATGTTGGGCTTTCTGTTTGTTTACTTTGTAGGTTAGAATGCAGCTCATCAAGTAAGGACTCAAATTCAGAGGCATTCTTTAGGACAAATTTAGTTTTATTCAACAGGGTTTAAGGTTGGTATAATTGTAACCAGACTCAAGAGTCAACAAACACATCCAGCTGTCTCTTAAGAAAGGACGTCCACTAGATTTTGTAAACATCTGAGCCAGAAAGGAGGAAAGTAACGTTGATTGAGCACCTACTGGATAGTTCCTGCAATTTTTTTTAGGTGCCGTTATTGGTGAGAAACAGAGAGAGGGAAAGTGAGAAATCACCCTGATGGCCGTGCTGCAATCCCTTCGCCTCCAGTCTCCTCTTGGGATTTGAGGCCTACACACATACATATCTGGCGTGATTTTCAGGCCACTGGGTCTGGGACTCGAACCACGATCAGCCATGTGGGAATACAGTGGCTTAGTCACCATGTCACCTACTGACTCCAGGGGTAGGGAGGAGATGGAAAGAAAGTCTTTGAGGGACCATGCTGGTGAGTGTGCAGTACAAGTATGCAGTGAAGTGGTATGCACAAGCTGGATGTGAGCACAGTTTATGCAGAGCATGTTCACCCTAGAGAGTGACTATATGATTACAAACGAAGTCTAAAACACTTCATTCAGGGCCCCCTGCCACATGCCTTAGCCTGAGTGATTTTTGTGAGTTATAGAACACCAACTTGGAAGATCAGATCTTGCCCCACATTATCTGTTACTCCTTTTTTGAAAACTATGGTAAGCCCACTACCCCCATTAACAGATTAGAAAACTGAGTCTCAGGAAAGTTAGGAACATTTTTTTCAAGTACTTTCTCTTTTTTTTTTAATTCGATGAAAAATTTTACGTTTTTCATCTGTCAAATGTTTCTTCCCTTTGCACCTCACACTCACCTTCAACCACTCGCTCTATACCAAACACTTTCCCTGCTTACAGTCTCTAGCATTTACACCCATCCTCTCTACCACTACATCTTCAGATCTCTCAACCTCTGCCACAGCATAAATTGAGTTAGGATATAAAATATGTATCTTTCAAAGTCTGGCCGACTTCACTCGACATGGAGTCTTCTATAGTCATTCATTTTGAGTCAAATGATACAATTCCATAGCGTCTTATACTGTATAATATCCCATAGTGTATATGTGCCACAGTTTTTCAACCCAGTCATCAGTTTTTGTACATTTAGGTTGGTTCCATGCTTTAGCAATTGTAAATAATACTCAATAAAGTCTGAGGAATAATTTACAAATATTTTCTCCTATTCCAAAGGTTGTCTTTTCACTCTAGTTATTGTTTCCTTTCCTGTGCTTTTTAGATTGATGTAATTCCACTTGCCTATTTTCGGGACTATTGCCTGTGCTTTAGGGATCTTATTTAATAAATCTTTGCCAGCTCCAATGTCTTTTCCAATGTCTTTAAAATTTTCCCCTAGGGGCCAGCAGGTGGCATGGTGGTTAAGGCACTGGACACTCCCACATGGCTGACCAGGGTTCAAGTCCTGAATCTGGTGGCTTGCTTTCTCACTTCCTCTCTCTCTCACTCTCACCCTCTATCTCTCTCTGGTCAAAATAAAAAAATAATAATAATAAATAAATGAATAAATAAAATAAATAATAATTATTTTTTTAAAAAGTTTCCCCTATGTTTTCTACTAGTAGCTTTGTTGTTTGAGACTTTATATTTCCATCTGTGACCCAGCTTGAGTTAATTCTTGTTAATGGTGAAAACTAGGGGTCCAATTTCTCTTTTCTGCGAGTGCATATCCAGTTCTTCCAGCACCACTTGCTGGAAAGACTTTCTTTTCTCCACCACATTGTCTTGTGCCCTTTGTCAAAAATCAGTTGGCTGTATGATTTGGGATTAATTTCTGGATTCTCTTTTCTGCTCGGTTGATGCCAGTACCATGCCATTTTCATTATCACTGCTTTGTAATATACTTTAAAATCAGGTAGTGAGATGCCTCCTATTTTATTCTTTTGACACAGTATTGCCTAGGCAATACAGGGTCTTTTATGATTCCAGGAAAATTTTATAATTGCTTTTCCTGTTTCTGTGAAGAATGTCTCAGGTAATTGGATCCAAATAGCATTAATTATGTAAATTAATTTTGATTTTATTGATTTTTCCAATCCAAGAGCATGGGAAGTCCTTCCATTTTTTTAAACTATGCTCTATTTCTTTTTTCTGTTTTCCAGAGTTTTCCTCATAGAGGTTTTAAACCTCTGTAGTCCAGTTTATTCCTAGGTATCTTTTTGTTTTGTAGTATTGTAAATTGGATTGTTTCCTTTAATTCTATCTTGGTCTATTCATTGTTGGAGTATAAAAATGCTATAGATTTTTGTATATTGACTTTGTACCTGCTACTTTATTTATTTATCACTTCTAGGGAATTTTTTTAGGGATTCTTTCTGATTTTCTATGTATATAATCATGTTATCTGAAAATAAGGACACATTAACTTCTTTTCCTGCCTGAGTGCCTTTTATTTTGCTCTCTTGTCTGATTGCATTGGCTAGGACTTCCAGCACCATCTTAAAAAGGAGTGGAGAGAGTGGGCAGCCTTGTCT